AAGGTGGAGATGGATTTGATTTGATTTGATTGGGCATACACTGAGGAGATGGTTTGGGGATATGACGCGCCAGGCTAGGTCAGGCTAGACCAGGTCAGGCCGTCGAGTGGACGATGAATGGGAAAGGATGAGTTGGGCATCCGAGGTGAGGGTGACATGGATGAGATTGTGTGTGGAAGAAATGAAAGCTTGTAGGTAGTCGTGTATCGAGGTTGAAAATACTGGAGAGAGGAGAGTGAAATGGCGACATCCTACTGAAGTCGTGTCTTCCACTAGGAACGCAAGGGAAAAATTATATAATAATAATAATAATAATAATAATAATAATAATAATAATAATAATAATAATGTAAAGGTGGTTCGATTGTTATTTCCTCTTTGATTAACAAATACTTCGAGGAGATTTTGTAGGTGAATAAGACAATTTGATAGGATAGTACTTCTACAATGGTATTTTGCTTTCAACAATGAGAAACGATTGTTTAGGCTTAAAAGTTTGAAGTAATTTACCACCAGATCTCTTTCCACACTTTGCTTGGCACTTAACAAAGCAAGTTAAACAAAAATGTTTGAGTTATGTATGAGGTTTTCTTTGCTATGAACTTGTAGGATTTGATATGCTTTGAATTTGTTAGTCGACATACTGTACATACCTATCTACCGCCTGCCTCTATGTCTACTTTGTTTCACGTAGGTATCTGAAGCAGATGGCTTCGAAAAACACCAAATCCAAACAAGTTAGCCATTCTGAATAGTTATTATAATTTAGTAAGAACTTCGTTAGACATATTGGCTTGGCTAACTACTTCACTTAGGTAATATATTGATTAACTTCCTCATTGTAATAAACCGAATTGTACAAATTTATGTATATTAGTGTACATATCCTTCATCTTGCTCAAAATCATAAATGCCACTACACTTTGGTACTAATGATGATCAGCGGTTAATAATAGAATCTAGGGAGCGTGTTTTGTCCTATTCAGGACTTGTCAACTGGAAAACAGCTATTTAGTGGTCTTACAGTTTCAAGGATTTCATGGTTGATACTAATCTATGCAGAAAACTAAGTTATATATATATATATATATATATATATATATATATATATATATATATATATATATATATATATATATATATATATATATATATATATATAGTCACAGTTTTACACTAGGGAAGTTGGAATACATACATGTGTTTTTCCTGGAGAGTTGTTCCTACATGTTTAAATTTGACATTGAACACCATAAGGTTTTAAAGTTAAGTTTTTAACGAAAAATAATCATTAAAATATCATAGGAAAGGTATTTGATTTTTTTCAGTGACATTTTACGCAGTCACTTGAAATAACAATGAAAAACTGTTGCAGAAGAATAGCTTCCTTTTGAAAATTTGATTTTTTGCCGAGAATCGAACGGTTATTCTAAGAAAATTGACTGATTTCAAGTGAGATCTTAGCATGGATTGAAATCAGCTGGAGGACCATTGAAAATCTGTAGGAAATGGATAGCTGTTGCACCCTGCTGTGGGTATGTTAGAGCCCTTGATGAGTTAACAGGTGAGTTGTCAACTTAGAGTAGTTTCCATCTATTCTCATCTTTCTTATTTAATTTTGTCCTGCTCTCGTTGTCTGACTTTTACAGAAAGTGGTCTTCTCACAGTAGATTCCTTAGTAGATCTCGAGTATTCAGATGGCTGTGAAACGTGGCCATTAAAATAGAGGACATGAGAAAGCTCCAGGTATTTAACCACCACTGCCTCCACAGTACAGGTCACATGTGGTGTCACTACCTGAGTAACGTAGAAGTCACAAGGAGAGTTTTGAGAAGGAGAAGAAAGTTACTTGATCAGGTTGCTAACATTCATCGACTCAGGTGGTCCAGATATGTGTTACGTATACCCAGTCACCGTATACCCTGTCGCACAATGTTAGCCTGACGTAGGTTCAGGCTGTAAAGCCCTTAAATGTGACCAGACGTTTGGTCTAAGGTATGTAAGGAAGTGTAAACTTGCTGGTTAGGGTAAGTGTAACAACTGAAATCGGCAGTTAGAGACTTCAGGCGATATGGATCAAAATCGATCTCATTTAGACCCCACTATCTAACACAATATTATTTACTGGATGAAGTTCCGGGTATAATTTGTTCCATGAATATATACAACAAATTGTGTTATCTAATAAATAATACTGTTTCACTATGTGACATATCTACTAAACAAGTTAAAGTGAAATTATAATCTACTATAGTGTCCAGATTCTATTCCTATACTTACTAATGGAATAGGTAGTCTAACTAATTGATAAAAACTGCCTCCCCACTTGTTATCAAGTTGTCTTGTTCTACAGAAAACTTCATTGCAAAGTGGCAAGCCTATTCAATTCAATTATTCGGAGAGTAATGGTACTTTTCTTAATGTGGCAGATATACTTAGATAGAAACTATGAAAGTACATAAATGGAACATTCTTTACCCCTAATCTTACAATCTCATTCTCTCATCAGAAACCCTTTCGCCAGTACGCATAGGATAAGCTGAAGCATTTGACCACATCATTGTGTGTATAACTGTTTACTTGCTCCTGTGGAGGTGAGTACATCGACCTTACTATGTATCAGCTTATACAACGAGCTTGACAAAGAGAAAGGGAAAGTGCATCCTCAGCTCTGTAACACAATACTTAGAAAAATTAGGAGATTTGGTTCCTTTTGATAAGTTCTTCAAAATTCTGTATAAAATATGATCAAATCACTCGAAAGGAGTGAGACTAAGACAACTGAGCATAGATGAGACATTAGCTATATGAAAGTTCAAATCATCATTATACGTTCAAACGAAGTATGTACAACCGCCTTCTTTGGTATGGTCATCGTAGAGTTTCGATCACTCTAAATAACCCACATATGACGCAAATATTTTTACTTTATCATTTTGTTTATTTCCCAACTACGTAACTTTCCTTTGTGATGCAGTTTGTATTGACCTTTGACCAGAAATTACTTCAGAATGTTCTCTCTTTTTTACGATATATTCACAAATGAGTTGTTCATCGAGCATGTATCAGCTTAATTCGGAAAGGGCGAAGTGAAAGTGGTGAAAACTTAAGTCCTACCATATCTAGACGACAAAGGGCATCACATAGATGCTAATAAAGCTTTCAATGGCATTCTTCGTGTTCCAAAACGACACCACATATAGCTCGCCAACGCCTCCCCAACATAGCGGAGGCTTTCACAATAAGATTGATCAGGCCTGAACTCTGCATTCAGAAAAAGACATGTCCAAGTGTTACTTCTCCCTTGGCCTTCAGCTAACTAAAAGCCACTATTATTATTATTTTTCCCTTGGGTTCCTAATGGAACATAGGGCTTTCGCATCTGGGTTCCACTCGACTACCTGACGCGTGATGTCCCCAGTCGGTCTTCTCAGTGCATGCCCAATCCATCTCCACTTCCACACTCTTCTGCATATTTGTTGAGTGATAGGTTCTTGCTTCGTTGGTTCGTTGCCCCGCCAGAGTTCCTTGTTGCTTATTGTTTCTGACCATCCATCTGAGCTTCAGTAACGAGCCAGTGTAGGCAGTTGTTGATGAATGTCTGCAATTTGTTCGAAATGCCTTTCGTAACGCGCCAAGTTTCCGAACCATATAGCAGCACTGACTTGATTGAATTGGTGTTGAAAATCCGGATGTTGTTGACGCTTTATGCTGAGTGCAGAAGATCTCCACACTGGTTTCAGGCTAATGAAGGCCTGTGTTGTTGTCTTTCCGATCCTGGCTGGTTTTGACGTCCTCGTCTGTGCCTGTGCCGCTTGTAGTTGATACAGTGCTGCCTAGATAGGTGAAGGAAGCTTCTTCCTTAAAGTTTCTCCCGCTGATGGTGATTGAAGCTTGTTGTTATTTTTGTTTGTGGTGGCGTTGGTTGGGTATCATCATCAGCTCTGTGTTCTCTACGTTCACTCGAAGTCCAGTCGTCGCTGCCTCTTCTGTCAACTTGTTAGTTTTTGCCTGTAGATCTTCGAGTTTGTGTGACATTAGACACAAGTCATCATTGGCGAAATCCAAATCTCCTAGGTTCTTTCCATCAGTCCAGCGTATCCGCCTTTTCTCACTCCTCACTGTTGTCTGCTGCATGATCCAGTCCACTACAGTCAAGAAGATCATCGGTGATAGTAGGAAGCCTTGTATTACTCCTGTCTGTGCTCACTTAAAAGGCATCACTGAGCTTCCTGTTGTGAATTACTTGGCATGTGGTGTCTTCATATGGTTGTTGAATGAGGTTGATAAAGGTTTGTGGTATTCCGTAGTGTTGAAGCAGCTGGCTGCCAAATTACTTCTCGGTCGAAACTGTCATAGGCCTTTCAAAGTCGATGAAATTGAGGTAGAGTTGGGTTGACTGCCATTCTATACTCTGTTTAATGACGATGCGAAGCGTTGCAATTTGGTCCGCAGTCGTAGTTTTGAATCCAGTGTATCCTTTAGTCTCTCCAGAATGAGGCAGCTTAATATTTTGCTTGCTTTGGGTGGACAGGAGTGTGATTCCTCGCCAATTCTTGTAAAGGACTAAAAGCCACTCTTGCCATCTTATTCGTTATGTTTTTATTCACCATTTTATCATTCTTGTGTATATCATATTATTCCAATATTGATTTAATTTAAACAAGATAAATGAATTTCCTTACAATCCCTAGATCTCATTTCATTTCGAAAATGTAACTGCCAATAACATTGACTGAAAAATGAACTTTATAACTATAGAACCTGAAGAGATTTTATTGAAAAAAAATATTCTTCATTCTTCAGATTGTTGTTTGTTTTGTTTTTTTTTATCAATGTTAAGGGAAAGGAAAAATATTTCTTCAATATTTTCCTATGTTCAAATGGATTATTTCAATACTTCTCATAAAATAGAATCAAAATTAGTTAACAGATAAGAATTCCCAATCGACTGATTGAATATTATGATCAATACCAGTTAGTTGAGTTTTTATGATTGATCAATTGATTTTGATAAATTGTTTATGTGTAGCAATACTAGAGAATACATACCAACCATTTCCAGCTATTGAAGTGATACCAATCACTCGTCCATTATTATCGAACACTGGACCTCCACTATCTCCAATATCAGGTCCTTGATTATTTGTATTCATATTAGAGCAAAGAGCTCTATCAGTTGGAATTTTAATATCTTTTGGACAATCGGAAAGTTTTATAATACCTAGAAAGTGTAAAAGGAAAAAAAAAATTATTGATTATAAGAATTATACCCTTACCAAAACGTAATTGACCTGTTGCTTTTTTTGTACTGTCTTCACCATATCCCACTACAAAAACATCTACACTTTCTCCTGATGATATTGGTTTATCATATTCTAATTCTCCTATCTCGATATATCCATTAATTAGGTTGAATGGTTTGTCAATGGTAAAAATTGATATATCCGGTGAACCACCAAGTTGTTCTTGTGTATCAGTTAAACCAGCGTTAAGATCATTACATTGTTTTTGATAAGCAATAGGATAAGCAGCATGTAAAGCTTCCCGATATTGTACAAAATGCGAATATCGACCGTTTAAATTAGTTATATTTGCGTAAACCTGGAATACAATAGAAAAAGATAATTTATACATTCAACATTTCAATCACATTAGATCATAGGTTTGAACTCCACTCCATACAAGTAGGTGATTTAAAAGCGTTCAGATAGTTGGCTCAAAGCCAAATACATAGAAAACTCTACATGATTTTTGAGTAATCCGTATTGGGAAGAAGAAAGGAAATGTTATGCAACAACTAAAATTTTCGATAATTTTTCATTATTTGCTGTTGGTTATGTATAAATCCGTATTATCCAGGGGAAGATATACATTATATGCTTAGTAGAGATATGATTATGAGAAATAATTTATGCTCGAAACGTAATCAATTAAATAATACTGTATCACTGTGCGCTTTATATCAAATAAACAAATCTAATATGCTTAGTAGAGAGGCTGTACATTTCAATGGTATAAAGCCCAATGTTTAACCTAGCCTATTTCAACTAACTGTTCACATATTTGGGTCAATCGTTAGAATTATATTCCAATTTAGAGGTTTGCATGGATTTATTTATTGATATCAAGTTGTGATTCATAACGAATTAGCATCAATTTGTGAGCATTAGATACCTGTTTCATCCCACTAGTATGAGACTCTTCAGCAACATGTACGCATGACCATGTCAGAGGTCGAGCAGAGTACCGTTAGGTTCCACGGCGAGAACGCTATCATTGAGCTACTGGGTCGCATCAAGCAACTCCCATTTCCTGCTTATCAGTTCACTATCTAGCAGGACCTACATCCAATGCTGTTGTTGAGTAACTGTTCGCACGTTCGACTTGGTTGCCCCCACCGGTTGCAACTTCTCAGTAGAACTTCGGGAATCATCTCTGAAAGCACGTCACTGATTAGAACTAGAGTAGTTCAGTTTGGACATTTTTGAGAATTTATTTATTTATTTCAGGTTGATATTCATCATAGACTGATATTAGCTGGAGAACCAGTAGAAACCTGGGAGCACTGGACAGCGGTTTTGTCCCACTAGTATAAGACTCCTCAGCAGTCCACACCGATGGGCTTACCAGAGATCTGTTTGTTAAAGCTGTTAACACACTTTTCACGTGTGGTAAGTAAAGGAACACATATAAGTAGTACATAACGGAATATATCTAGGAGAAGAATCATGGTTAAACCAGTAGAGGTTCTGGAAGAAAAACCGAGAAACATGTTGAAGAGATATAGGTGACACGCGAAAACGACTATAGAAGCTGGAGGAGAATTCATTTCAGATATGGAACTGAGATAATAGGTGAATGAAGATCGATTGGAATGGAATATTGGGATGCTTATTAGTCTAGTGTGTTAGTTGTGCAATGAAATCACTACTGACAGAACAATTACGAAATGAGGAGACAAAATCTACAGATAATGATTCATTTATGTACATTTATTGGGGCATTAATGTTTAGAGGTGTGTCAAATAATAATTACGTAGTGATGAGTTATATTCAAGTGGGATGAAAATCATGTGAATACTATAACGAAATAGAGAATAACGAACGTGACGTGTTACATCATGGTCGAAAATGACTACCGGTAGTGGTATGAATAAAGAAGGGCGTAAAACTAATGACATAAGAAAATGAATATTCATTAAAGTAATGACAATATAGTAGGAATGGATTAGACGTTAAAATGTGTAGTTTGTGGTAGAAAAGTTCATAAAGAACGTGTCGACTCTGTTGTGGACCATAGTAAACAAAGTGGATAGTAGGTCCAGTTTTCTTGCGTTGATCCCTATGGCTTCGGCTATGGATAAGATGCGAAGTCGTGCACCTTTAGGGAGATTATAAGGGACACAATGTATCACAAGAAAGGCATGATTTACCTTAATCTGATGTCCGGTATCTACTAGATGTGATAAGATTGCATCGTTCACGTTCTTTGTCATTCCTTTCCCTAACCAAGATGGGACATGTTCACGAGTGCTCCTGGATAGAACTCTTGGAGTACGGCCTATGTAACTAGCTCCACAGGAGCAGTTGAACTCATAAATGCACATTGAAGTGGTCGTCATGGGTAACCTATCCTTGGTGGTTTGGTTGAGAAGCTGACAAAAAGTTTTGCTGCACTGTTTTCTTTCGACTGATCTACTTAATCGATATGTTAAGATACCAAAGGTGATATCACCTTTGAAACTTAATCTAAGATACACAGGCTTCTTGGCAACATTGTCTTTCTTTATCTTCTCTCTAGGTTTCGACATATGTTTATTTACAAAGTTTAGCGGATACCCATTTTGATGTAACATTATCTTCAGCTTATTCATTTCTTCTTTAATACAGTCATCGGAATAAATGTTTCTTATTCTGTAACTCAGGCATCTGACCAGGTTTATTTTATATTGAATCGATGTGAAGCTATGAAAGTGAATATATTGACCAGTTCATGTGTTCTTTCGAAAAATATTCCTGTTAATATACCCATCCGAGGAGGACATCTAGGAAAGGAATACTGTTCCCTCGTTCTTCCTCGTAGGTGAACTTCATAGCTGGGTGGACATTATTGAAGGTATTCAAGAGATCATCTTTATTGTCACTATTCTTAAAAATGATGAACATATCACCCATATGCCGTCAATAAAAGTCCAGTTTATCCAGTATGTCCCTAAGTGCATCGTTTTCAGGTTTGACTAAATCAATGTGCACTAGCATAGGACCCAGAAGACAGCCAATTGCAACTCCATCTACTTGCTAATGAATTAGGTATACTCAGACAATGTAATAACAATCAGCTAGAAATAGTAATGAGAAAAGAAAAAAAAGACAGAATCATTCTCACCTACCTACTTTATAGGTTGAATCACCACATGCACAATGTCCAGCGGTTATTATTTTATCTCTGGATATAATTGTTCCAGTACATAGATGTGTTTCACCCAGTAATAATACAATCATTGGAAATTCACCCGGTTTCGCTAAATAACCATTCTGTATACGATATTCTAATGTCAATGATAGTGTTATATGTAGATTAGTCAATGTGAACAATATCAATGAGATGATAATCATATAAAAATTTAGAATTAAATGTCTATTATATGATATTATTATCATGGATAAGGTTAATTCATGATATTAAAGAGTTTAATAAATAAATGAAAACTGAAGATGTTTATTTTGAAGATAAGAAGATTTTTTTTTTCTTCTTTGTTTAAAACAATGTTTAAATGGTTAGTTAACTCATATGTTATTTATTGATTTTATCGAAAAATGAATGGTTTGTGCCACGTGCATAATGGATGAACTATTGGATTAAGTAAATTAATGTGTGTTGCGTAATTAAAAAATATAATAAGCATCCGTATATACACACATACGGTCACGGAGCATAGATATCACAAGTACCGAGCGATCTATGCTAACTGGAACACTTTTCACTTCAGTTCCTTACGTGTTACAATAGCCTGTTGGATAGTGATGAGATAAAAAGTTGTTATGTTTAAACTGTAAGTCACTACGCTATGATGAGAGTTTGAGGATGAGAGTAGAATAGCAGTAAAGTGTTTCTCGTATATGACCAACATTCAGTGCTGATAGTAACCTTTCATGAATCTTCTGATGTTAGTGATATGAATTTCCTAGCACAGGCGAAACAGAATTGACTGTCATATGAAAACGACTTAAAAGATTGTGCATAATCGACCTTAAGCATATGCCATGAGTTTTGCAGCCACACACCTAGTGTGTCAAGACTCAGCTAAGCAACCCATTTTCTTCTTCCGCTACTTTAAGAAGAATTATTCTCTCGTAATTAAGGGCAGTTTGAAAGTGCTGACCACCCTTATACTTATCTCACTCCCCCCCAAGTTCCTTCTAATCAACATCAGCTTTCCATATCGTTGATATGATATATGCAAAGAGGTAGACAGTCCAAGTAGTTCACATTTGTTTCCACTAATAACTTAGCATATTAGTTTTACAGAAGTTTTGTTAAATTCTTCGTTGAATCTATTGCCTGGAAAATTTATGCTATGAAAACGACTTCAGAATCATTCAACTGAACTTTACTTGATCAATCTAACCCATCTAAGTGATATTGTGTAACAGATAATTCTTTTAACTTAGGAAAAGTTATATTTCATGTTTTTCTATATGATTTTAAAAAAGGATGGCTTTAATGGTCAAAGTCAGTTGGGTGGAAAACTTGTTTTACCGAAGCTTCATATTTGTTGACACTTGTCAGCAAGGTGTATCTGCACCCTGTAGAAAACTGACTCCGCTTCAGAGATTTGAGTGCATATTACTCAGTGCTACACTCTAAGACATCACAATAGGTTTCTTTCCACCACGATTGACCACTCGTAGGAATCAAATTAATCAAAGTGATTGATCATACTTGAGAGCTAACCATTTCATATTTTCTAGTCTAAGGTGTTAACCAAGTCCTTATCGTCAATGTTAAAATTGTATATAGTGGTTGCTATGTGATACTCAGGCTAAGGGATACAATTCAGGATGTTATATTAATCTCGGTGACTAGCAGAGGAAACTAAAACACGCATCCCGCGTATTCGGGACTCATCAGCTGGATGTACCTGCGCCCCAGTAGGCGATGTTGTCCCCACCGGAGCTTGGACCCAGTATACTTCGCTTCAAACGCCAGAGCGTTATCCACTAAACCACTACGGCATGATAGCCATCTCTTGTGCAACAGGTGTCAGTTGCTGTTATAAAATAATTCAGTTTGAGGGTTTGTAGCGATATGTCGATTTCAAGCTGGTATCCATTACTGACTAACATCAGTTGGGGAACCATTGAAAACCCAAGAGCACTTGACAACTGTTTCGTCCTAGTTTGAGACTACACAACAGTGCACACCCATGAGCCCATCAGGGATCAAACCCAGGACGTTACTGATCCAGTAGTTTAATGGAAATGTGCTGTCTACGAAACCCAAAGACCCTGGGTTCGATCCTTGGTGAGGTGGCGGATACGCACTGATAGCCAGTCCCACACTAGGATGAGATAGCTGTCCAGTGCTTCCAAGTTTCCATTGCCTCTCCAACTGATGTTGTTCAGTGGTGAATACCAACCTAAAGGATATAAGTCTTTTGTAAGGGATATTTTCTTATCCTGATAAGTTTTATTAACATTAATGTTTTAATGTATATTTGAATCCAGTTCGGACACTATGAGGATTGACAGATTTAAAGCATTTTCTTGATTCGGTGGATGGTGGTGTACGGCTGTTCTTAATTGGTGGAGCGATTTGTCTGCTTAATTCCGATAGCGAAAGAGACTTAAACTTACTATATAGTGGAATGGTCCCCTGTTCTCGTTCAGGGTGAGGCTTCTACTGTTTCTTTCTTAAGTGGTGTGGTTGTTTATCTGCAGGTACAATGCCAGTTTTTTCTTCTAAGAGAGATGATTGGCATGCTCATGCCGCACGAAATTGAGAAATAACAGGTCCGCGATACCTTTAGATGTCTGGGATCACACGTACGCTACAATGATGGTGCCAGAGAGTCTGTAAACCTGGCTCGAAAGGGTTGGGCAGACTGTTTCATCACCGTTGTAACTGGGATCGGGGCTTATAATTATTCCGCGTGAACGAGGAATTTCTGGTAAGTGCAAGTTATAAGCTTGCACTGGTCACATCCCTGCCTTTTGTACCTCATCCCCCGTCAATACTACCGAGTGAATGGTTTAGTGGAGTCGCTAGATTGGTGTCATTGAAGTGGCTTGCCTTTCGATTGATGCTGAGAAGATGACCTAATTTAACCGTTTAGAGGGAGTAGAAGTCGCAACTAGATTTTTGTTGGTGAACCTGTGGAAGCGTTTTTACCAGATACAGTATATATATATATATATATATATATATATATATATATATATATATATATATATATATATATATATATATATATATATAAACCAAGCGGAGATGACCAGCGTGTTTACTTATGCGAAACGCGTATATCGCAAGTCCATTCTCATGCGGATGGTATATAAATACGGTGTGCTAAGACATGCCGATGAAGTCCTCATATCAAAAAGGTAATTCGATAATTGTAACTGAAGTCGTGACCGGTGGGGCAAAGCCTGATGGTCGTGAGGACAGTTACTCAACGATGACATTGGGTGGCGGTCGCCCTATATCGTGAGCTAACAGAAGTTGGAAATATGAACCATCGGATTCTGACCCAGTGGCTCAATGGTAGCGTGCTGGTCACGGAACCTGAAGGTCGCAGGTTCGATACCTGACAGGGTCATGGGCGTGCACTGCTGAGGGGTCTCATACTAGTGGGATGAAATGGCTGTCCAGTGCTCTCAGGTTTCCTTTGTTCCTCCAACTGATGTCAGTCTACGATGAATAACAACTTGAAATGCCCACTACTTTTTAAGATAATCAGTTATGTATGTCCTTTTATTAATAATACGCTTTTATATTTTCTTGAATGGTATGTGTATATGTGGAATGAAGCTTAAGATGGTAATTATGAATAGTAATCTAGGTTTTCCTGCATAAATAATTTTTCACGTTCACTTTTATAGATTGCCATAAGTGGACTGAGTTGTATTTTCATGAGCATACTATCCGCCAAAAATGATCAGAATAATGAATATAACGAATGTAATTGCTGGTAAATAATTCCACTAGCAGTTGATATGTGGTTCCTTAAATCATTCTTGACTAATTTATGTGATTAGTCCAGTAGTACAGGTGGGGAGGTGTCAGTCAAAACTTGAAAAACTTAGTGGATAAATCTCTGACTTTGGTACTGAATTAGTTGGGATCAATAGCCGAAAGGACACCAGTTCTCTCATGATTACTGATGAATCTTACTGACGAGTGTCGATAAACCCGAAACCTGAGTCAGACGAGGCTTTCTGACAGTTGACTCTTAACACTAAGCTACAGTGAACTGCAGTGTTGCGTCACTTGGCTGAGTGACCGTTGATACTAGTCCTGAATTATATATATAATTATTATATATATTAAGTAACTTCCTTTGGTTATTCAATATATTTTGCTCCCTCCCTAACCGGAAATAACTCTGGAATGTTCTGCCCTCTGTAACATATATTCACGAATGTACGGCTTAGTAAATAACTTCATCAGAAAGAAAACATTTTCCACGCTACAATTAATATAATAGCGGATTAAAATTAGGAAAAATGAGAATAAAAAGAAAGAGTGGCATTATTATTTGTCCCTTGGGTTCCTAGTGGAACATAGAGCTTCAGTAGCACGTCTCCATTGAACTCTGTTCTCTGCAATCTTTTCAACCTGGCTACCTACGACTGTCCAAAAGCTTTCATTTCTTCTTCACATGATCTCTTTCATGTCACCCTCGGACGCCCGACTCACCGTTTCACATCTGAGTTCCACTCGAGTGACTGGTGCACGATGTTTTCGAATGGCTTTCTCAGTGTATTGCCAATCAAATCAAATCCATCTCCACCTTATTCTTCTGCATATTTGTTGGGCAATAGGTTCTTGGTTCGTTGCCAGCTAGCTAGCTAGCTAGCCAGCCAACCAATCAGCCAGCCAGCCAGAGTTCCCTTCTTCCTTATTCTTATTATTCTGACCATCCATCTGATCTTCAGTGTCAGTATCGAGTGAGCGTAGACGGCAGCTGTTCATGTATGTCTGCAGTTTGTTCGAAATGATTTTCGTAATGCACCAAGTCTCTCCACCATCATATAGAAGCACTGACTTACTTGACTGAACTGGTGTTGAAAATCCAGATCTTGTAGACGCTTTATGCTGAGTGTAGTGCAGTGCAGTGCAGTCCAGTTGATCTCCACACTGATTATTTCGGATTAATGCATGAAGGTGTGTCTTTCTGTGTTTCCGATACTGGCTGGCTGGCTGGCTTTGACATCCTGATCTGTGTCTGTGGCGCCTGTAGTTGAGACGATGCTGTCTAGGTGGGTAGGTAGGTGAGAGAGACAACTTCGTTTAGATTTCTCTTGTTGATGGTGACTGGCGCTTGTTGTTGTTGGTTAGGTATCTTCATCACCTCTATCTCTATCTTCTCTACGTTCAAGGGTGACATGATTGATCCTAATTTTGATAAGAAAACAAAGTTTAACAAGGTAAGTGTAAT